GCTTCACAGGCTCGTGGGGCCACAGAGGGGAGGGGCAGCCCCAGGACAGCGGCCGTGCCGGGGAGGTTCCTGCCTTCACAGCGATGCTGACGCGCGTTCCGGGGCGATCCTGTCCGATGGCTACAAAGGCTGAGCTGTGCCTGGAGCCTGGAGTGGCCCAAGAAACTGTTTCACCCGTGTCACAGCAGAGGCAGGAGCTGGACTTGCAGTTCTTGGAAACGACGGCTCATTAGACACCCAGGCGGTCACTTCAGCGGGGTCAGGCTTCCAAGGTCCATTCCAGATACAACTTGATGTCCTCCTCGTACAAGACTTTGGGGTTTAGGTAATTTATCTTTACCATACAAAGCCTTTTCAGAGGTGGTCTTATTCATATTGATGGGGAAATACTGGGTTAATTGTTAAAGAGCATCAAAAAAAAGGGCTAGCAAGAAATCTACAATATAAAGACAATTTTATTGCCGATAAGCTCTTAAAATTCTTTTTTTTTTCCCCTTTTTCAGTAGGACCTTATTCTTCCTGATGAAAATCCGGTCATAGCATCTCTCATTAAAAATAAAATTATTTTGAAATAAATAAATATATAAAATAAATATCATATACATTTTTATAAATAGTTTTGTCCTTATGCACAGTATCCATGCTTACATCTGAATAATGTTCCTCACCCCATTCCCACCCCAACAGCAGGAAAAACCCCCACATGTCAGGACCAGTCCATGTCGCATCATCCATGTAGCAAACTCCCAGGCTGCTGAAGCAGGGTCCCATTCGAAAGGCTGTTCCTTAGCAGGAAACCATCCCCAGCTGAGCAGCAGCACCTGCAGCAGTTTTTCTTTCCTTCTCTTCATTTTTAATTTGTTTTTTTCCCCCACCCTGGTGATCAGGTTTGCTCGCCTGCTTGTTCCTTTAAGCAACCATAAGATTGAATATTCGGTCTCTCTTGTAGCAACGGTAAAGAAAGTGAATGAAAACGAAAGATTATATGTAGGGTTCCCTCCCGTCCCCTACCCCCACCCCCATAAATAACCCAGGTTTGATACGCGCTTGAAACAAGGAGGAACAGCAGTGTCTGAATTCAGTGGAAGTGCTTTCCTATGTCATCTACACTTACAGGAACGATGGAATGACTATTCATAGAGTGCTCTGGGAAAAAGCTTGGGAACCCAAGTATGTACAGTGACGGGGCAGCTGCAGGTAACATCACCTGTAGTGGAAAAGGTCTCTGTACGTGGCAGGGATTTTGGCAGGGTCCACAGGCCTGGGTAAAAAATGAGTGAATTTCTGATGTCTCTTAGTCCTGTACCCCTCTCGGGGGGAGCCGTCCTTGTTCAGAGCCACGTAGTAATGCCTCTCCGAGTCGGGGTGCTTGTAGAGGGTGGAGGCGTACGTGTTGTACCAGTTCTCTTCAAACTGCTCTCGGAAAACGCACTCCCGTGTGAGCTTCTTCTGTGTTGGGGCAGAGGTGGGAGAGGAAGAAAAAGGACATTTGTGTCAAAAAGTTAAAAAAAAAAGAAAAAAAAAGAAAAAAATCTTTTCCTGCTTCCTTCATTTTATTTTCCTATCATTTTCCCAGCTACCTTCTCCTAGCTGCCCTGAGGACAGGGACTGTGCTGCTGGGGATGTCTCCCCTGGGTGAGAGCTGGAAATGGGCACAAGCCATACCAGCTGGGACTCAAAGACCTCTGAAGTTGGAGGAGGAAGGAAACCAAAGGAAGAAGAAGTTGGAGAAGGTGGGGTGTCCCATAACGAAGTAAAACAGGACCATCACAAAACTCTCAACGCAATGGGTTGATTGCTGGAGGTGTGGGAGCCCTCTCAGATGGCAGGCAGTCTGCACAGGCTGGATGCTGTCATACGACAAACACCTTCACTGTAACCTGTCCGGGTAGGGAACGTGTCTGCTCTACAGCATGCAGAGAACCTATTTTGAATGTTTTGCTGCTAATTAAACAAACCCCAAGGTGAGCTGTGAGCCCTCCAAAAGCCACAGCCCCTGCCACCTGGGGAACCAGTAACCTGGGGTTTCTCTCCCCACATCTGTCAGTAAACACAGACTTTTTTGGTTTTTTTTCTTCCCCTAGGATGCCATCTACTCAGAATATGTTGGAAACTGCTGACGGGCTGAACTCGTGCGCTGCTGTTTTGCCCCAGAATACCTGCTCTTCACTGGGCTCTTTGGAGGTAAAGTGTCTGTGTCAAATGTTTGCAGACTCTGGGGTGACTCTGCAAGGTGCCATTTCTTTCTTTCCAAGCCCTGGGATGCCCCCACTGAGCCTGACACCCCACAGGCAGCGTGTGAGGCGCTGCCTGCGACTTTTGCTGCTCTAAGTATTAGTTGTGTTTCTGAAATTGGTGGAAAGCTGAAGGGAGACGTTGGCACAAGGTTAACAGGGACAGGAAAAGCCGTCTGTCCCGAGGGAACTCCACGTGTCACTGCGGGGATGGCTGGCTCTGGCTCTATCAACACACAGATCAGGCAAAATTGGCACAGAGGGAAATAATAAACTTGCTGAACATTTAGAAATACTGCTGTACTGTGATGTCCTAAAATACCATTGTAATGTTAATGCTGTTGTTGGGTGCTGTTTTATGGACCTTTAATTAAGAATATTGTAGTGGCTTTTGATTTTGAAATCACTGTACAACCCACGTAGCCCAGATTTTAAAACTCCGGGGTTATCTGGGGCCCTGGCTCGTGACTTCTGCACAGTCTGGGTCAGCCGTTCGCCTGCGTCCCTGCAGGATCCTGTCAGTGTATTGTCTGGTGCACAAGATCCAACGACAGAGAGAAAACTCCCGTGATTATGTCTTCAGGTCAATTCTGTTTCCAGATGAAGTGTCGCAAAATGTTATCCTATTTTTGTTTCTGTGTTGTTAACATGAACACAGGCCCTAGAATTTGATTAACCCATCATGAAACTGTTGATCCATAACGAGAGCTGCAGGGTTTGAAAGCACAGAAGGGAATATGCAGGCTCGTGTCCTCCTTTTCCGCAGGCACAAGTAAAATCTGTGACTCCAGGAGCTGCTGAGCAGCCTCAGGGCCTGACAGGAGAGGTGCTGCTGTGCTGGTGTAGGCTCCAGCCCTGCTTTCAGAAGATGCTTTAAGATTTTTTTTGTGTTTTATGGACTTCTGCTGATTTTACTTTGTATCTGTCTTGTAATTTGTAATTTAACCACTGTCTCCACATTTAACTTTTGTTTAGGGCAGACACAGAAATTAAGTGGAAAAAGAAGTTATCGGTGCTACCAAAAGGCAGCCACACAAACCCAACTCACTAGTATTTGATTATCTCATATAAACATCAGAAAGTGCATCTTAATAGTGAAAGGGTCTGTGGCAGACTCAGAAGGGAATGGGAGAAGGAAAGCTGATGGAAACTCATGGTTTACTGTTCCTGTTTGCTAAGCAAAGGTTATGAATAGTACACAAGTTTAAATTTCTACACTATGAGATTGATCTGATTTGGTTAGAAGTAAGTGCTTTCTGCTTTGGTTTAAAACTGGTTTATTTTATTTCATTTTAAATTTACCGTGATCCAGCCTTAACAAATCCACACACAGGGTAGTGCTGTGATCTACAAAGAAGCATTTAAAAAAAAAAAAATCACACACAGGTGATGAGTTGAATTAAAGGCAATGGGGCAAGTGAAGAAAAAGCACCAATGAAGTGCAAGCAGCTACAGAAAAGGAAACTTAAAAATGTCTATCTAGAATGCAATTAATTTTTCAAAATAGAAGTGATTTTCTAGCTAACTAGAAATAACTATTTTATGTTGAGTTTAGTTAAATAATTAACAATTGAGTTAACCTGTGGGAAGCACCTCTGCCCATTTGTTAAGACTTGACATTTTGACTGCAAGTCCTAAAGCTTAAATAGAAAGGAGCAGAGGAGAGCTCAGCTCTCTTCAGGTTGCTGGAGACTTTACCTGTCTTTTTGGGGCTGGCTCATTGGAGCACCTGCCTGTGTTCAAAGTGGTTTCCAGGGTGGGGCAGGTTCAGTAACGTGGGGCAGAAAAGCTGCGAGCTGGACCTGAGCTGGTCCCGGCTGCGGCAGCGCAACCCACGAGCCACAGCTCTAAGGGCACGGCCCAAACCAAGGGAACAAACCACAAACTCACGAGCTACCACTAGAAACCTGAGCCTGGACTGGAAATGGGATGTCTGCTGTTTTCTCTGTCCTACAGCAGCACAGGATGAGGGAGAATCTGCTACAGGTGATGTCAGGGAGAGTTCACAGGTATCAGGAGTTTGTGTGGAGTGAAAAACTAACAAGGAGTTTACACTTGGTTTTTGGCAAAACATGGAAAATTTAAGTCTGAAAAGGGCACTTCTAGGAAATTTTGAGCAACTCCCCTCCTAAAAGGAGCTGTAGAGAATGTTACAATAAAATAACACTTCAGCTTCTGTTAGTTAAAGAGCTATAGTATAAATATAAAATCTGCAGGTAGGTGCAGATACTGATCAGATGGAAAATAAAATTGATGTGTTACTCAGGCATGAAAACACACAAGCAGCCCCTGGTTTTACGATAAATTTCCCTCCTGCCTTTAGCTGACCGTTGCCACACTGTTTCTGAAAGGCAAAAGCTTGATAAATCCCTCAGCTCCCCAGGCACTGCCCCAAGCTGGGCACCACCATGGGCTCTCACCCCAGGAGTGTATCCTTCCTCCGCAACCCGATTTTGTACAAACCATTCACGTGGTAACAACAGTGGCAGCAGGGGTAGGATGGAGGTATGTGGCAGCCCAGGGACTCTGGAGGCCTGGGACAGACACAGCTCGTGACACTGATGAGGCCCCGCAGCCTGTATTCCTGTGTAGGTTATACAGTGCTGGAATCAGCACAAAACCTTAAACTTACCGACCCATACAGCTCGCCTCTCTCGTTCATGCCGAGGTAGAGTCCCGAGTCCACCCCACGGATGCTCACCAGCCCCACTGCCAGGCTAATAAACTCCAAAATGCCTAAAAAAGAAAAGAAATTCAAATCATACAGAGAATAAAACCAACACCAGGCTCCAGTGGCAAACATGAACCAGCCTTTCCCAACCTTTGCAGAGCTTCCTACAGACCCCGTTTTCCTTATTTACAACAACACTGTTCTTTAGATAGTCCCATATCTGTGCCATCTTCTGATTTCCACTCTAGGCTTCTCCCCAGCTTTGCAAATTTGACTTGCCCAAGAGGAATTACCTTTGCTAACGAGAAAAGGTTTGCTAGGTTTTGTTGTTCTGGTTTTTCTTTTTTCCCCCCTAACTATCACCAAGACAGATGTAGAAACTCGTGCCTGGCTCATTAGAAATTTCAGAAGGTTGTTACCACACTGGGTTTTATGCGTCACCAAAAGGAGAGATTTTTGTCACCACAGGGCTTCTGTTTTGAGATGATAGTCCCACATGTCTTAAATTGATGAGTTCAATAAAAGTAAGTGAAAAGCACTAGAAGAGACGTCTGTGAGGGCCATCTTCATCCTGGCACTCCAGTGGGGTACTCGCCACCCCCAAACATATACATGAGCCACAGGGATAAAATCCATCTTCAAGGATATGCAGGTAGTAATGCATCTTCCTCTTAAAAAAACCTACAGTTTAAAAAGCCAAACAGCCCTCAAGTAGGTGTGTTTTTAACTGGCTTGAACAAAGCCAACATCACAAGTGGTGAAGACCTTCAAACTTCCTAGGAAAACCTCCTGAAAGCATTAATGGGACTGTGTTAGACTCTGGATATCACAGGCTCCTGAGCTAGAGGTCATGGGCAGCCTTTGCCCGTGTACAGTGCTGAATTAATTAACTGGGAGGTAGCAGCAGAGGAAGGAAGAGGGTTTTCACCATCCCATCTAATGACTGGACAAGACATCTCCATTGACAGGAGGACAAAGTTGCTCTAACCTTTAGCATGGCTCCAGGTCTCTTAATATAACTCCCAAAACATCCAGTCCTGAGCAACGGCCGCTCTGATCAGGTTACCTCCCAGGGCTCCTCGTAACAAGTATGCCTTGAGTCTAAAATCACCGCGTGACGAGCGGCCACCTGAGCCAGCTGACTTCAGCGGCAGCCGCGGCTCCCAGTCACCTCTCAGCTTGGGGCATGTGTCTTCTGCTCAGCCAGGCATGGATGCAATAGCTCCCACACGATAACTGCATCACTGCCTAAATATAGGACAGGCCAGATGGTGATGGATACCCCTGTCCCCCTTTGCTCAACGCAGACTCATCAGTTGGATGCTGGCTGCTAAGCTGGGTGCAAGAATTACTCTTCCTACCTTATATCAGACTTTTTGTCCTCCTTTTGCCCTGCCTACTCTGGGGCTTGTGCATTGAATCCAGCCCTCCCTGCAGCCAGTGGGTGCTGGGGGCAAGGGGATATGAAATACGGACTTGGAAGCAGCAATTCCTCGAGCCAAACAGGGGAGGAAACAATAGAAAACATGCTTTATGGACCAACGCAGGCATTTTCCAGGCTGAAATATATCCCACTACATGCCCTGGCCTGGGAACACGTGTTGCCTTCAGAAATGCCAGGAGCAGGCAGCAGAGGCAGGGAAGGCAGCCTTCCCAAACCAGGCAGGCAAACCAGGACCCTGGCTCTGCTCTGCTCGCTCCCCAGCAGTTACTGTGGCTTCTTGTCTGAAAAGAAGCACAAACTGGGAGGAAAGAGGCACAGGATGAGGAGTGGTGGTCTTCTGCCTCCGCTACCCACCGGTTCTGACACATGGAGGGAGCTACTGAACTGCCGTGTGCTTCCATTTCTACATGTGCAGGACAGAAATGATGACAGCCACTGTTTGGAAAGGAGGGAGTGAAGGAAGATTGACAACAACTGGAGAGAGTGTAGAAAGTAATAGAGGGGCAAAAGAGTCCAGAGGTACCCAGAAATGAGGGAGCCTTTCCCAGGCTGGAGACAAATGGACATTCAAGTGAAAAATACCTGATAACTGGAGAGCAGTAGATCAACCTTCCTCCAGAATCACAGAATTGTTTTGGTTGGAAAAGACCTTTAAGATCATCGAGTCCAACCATAAACCAAACACTGCCCAGTCTACCAGTAAACCATGTCCCTAAGTGCCACATCTACACGGTTTTTAAACCCCTCCAGGGATGGTGACTCAACCACTTCCCTGGGCAGCCTGTTCCAATGCTTGACAACCCTTTCGGTGAATAAATTTTTCCTAATATCCAATCTAAACCTCCCCTGGCACAACTTGAGGCCATTTCCTCATACAAACACAGTCCTCAGCACCAGCATATTTTTTTTTAATGTGTCTTCTGTCACCCCTGGGAAGCAGGAAAATGCTGCTGATCCCATTTAGAAACCGAGGGGGTGTCTGAGGCAGGGAAACTGAGAGCTGTTATTGAGTACACGCATGAGCATGCTCTGTATGTGGCACGTGAACTCAGGTCTCCAAAGACCTGGGAAGGAGCAGCCCAGGAGCAGTATTAGCATCTTCCCTCTCTGAGCAGCGGGCCGAGACACCCCTCATCTGGTGCAGACTGGGTAAATACTTGCTGGTTTTGCAAATGAAATTCCTTCAAAGTGTTCCTGTGACAGTATCTTCTGACAACGTCCCTTGCAATATTCTCCTTTTCTCATCTTTGAGTGGCACTTAAAGAAGTGCATGGAAGATGACTATGTTGAAACAGCATTAAGAACGTAACTTAAACCCACAAAAGTCAGGAGACAGAGTGAAGGCTGAAAAAATGTGGGCGGATATCCATCCTGTCCTTAACTCACTCCAATTGCTAGACAAAACTGCAGCTTCATACATCTGATCTCCAGCAGCACAGGGAGCGGCCACTGGGGCCAGCTCAAGAATTTTCTTTCCAATTGTAGCGGTGTGTTTTTGTGGTAGAACTTGCACTTTTTTTTCTTTTTTCCTTTTTCCTTTGTCTTTTCTCTTTCTCCTTTTTCCTTTGTCTTTTTTCTTTCCCCCAAGACTTGCCTCTTTTTTCATGCTTTGATTATTCATTCTGTTTGTTCCCTGAGCCTTTCTAGATTATATTTGGAGATATTTGATTAAGACTCTGACTGGATTCATGTAACACCAAAGCACTGAATAACCTCCTGAGCTTTGCTGTGGCCGGACTCACATACCCTCGCCTTACTATAAACCATCCCTCAAAGAACAATTCAGCTCCTTGCACCTGTCTCCTCTAACATGACTATATTCAGGAGCAGGGGTACAGAAACATCAGATGTTGTATTAATGGCTACAAACCTAAAGCTTCAGCTAAAAACCTCAACAACTGTTCGGCAACAGGTGTTCTATGATCTGAACGTCAAAATATACAGCAAAACTTTCTCTGGAGGTTTCATCAGCTTCTCTGGGAGGCTGTGTTACAGTTCCATTAGCAGGTCTGTACCCAAGAAGTGCCCCATTTGCTACCTTTATTAATCTGCAGTACAAACTCAAGGCCATTTTGTCTCCTCGCTTGCAGTTAAGAGTAGCGCTGTCGGTGTCACTTGTTCAATGCTGCTGTAAAACAGACACGAGGCAGCAAAAGGAGCAATTCCTCCTGGCAGGGATTTTCCTGGTGAATGGGTTTCATTCTGAATAGGATTCTCATAGGGGTGCTAATGTCAGTCCAAGCCTGCTCCAGAATTTGACTGTCCTTTATTTCTTTGTACAGGAAGGTTCTTAGCAGATGCAGTGAAAACAGATACATTTTTGAAAACACTTTACTCTTTCTGGGATGACTTAGGTGGAGCTGCCAGTTCAGAGAGCAAATTCTAGTGTGAGAATGAGCTTTCTTCCAACAATCCTGGAGGGCTTCATCAAATTTTCTGTTAAGCCTCCTCTAGGAAAAATAAGTGGCGCCCCATTGTTCTTGCATGAATCTGCATTTTTACAAGTATAAAATATCGTGTTTCAGAAGACAGGTGTGTTTTAGGAACGTTCCAATCCTTGACAGACAGAGAGGGAATAGTTACTATGATTGCGCAGGCAGTGTGGGTAGATGATGCTGCTACCTCCCTCATGTCCTGTGGTCAAACTCCCCGACTGCTGTGGTAGAAAAGAACCCTTCCCTTTAACCCTCACCATTAGGACCTTGTTACTCTGTCCTGTATCAGCAGGGCTTTCTCTCTTTATTTTTCTCTCTGGAAGACTTGGATGTCTTGCACATCTGGTAGCTTTTGGGATGGCTACACGTGGGAGGGTGCAGATACTCTCCATCTTTTTCTAAATCCCTTCCAGTATTGAGAGATAGGGATGCAAAGTCCAGTTCCACCCTGTAACCCATCTGCAGCTGGACACGTGCCTCTGCTGCGGTGTCACAGCCATCCACGGAGCACATTAATTATCTGCTCATGATATCAGGGAGCACCATGCAGCCACGTGGGCTGGATCCACCAAACCACCATACTTGATTTCTACATATTTCCCCAGGTGCCCCTAGATTTAAGGCGGCTTCAAACTGCCACCCTGAAACCCTCCTCTAGCTCTGTAGCCCTCACCACAGTGTTGTAGCTCCCCAGAATCGCTCAGGCTGCCTATTCTGTAATAAGTTACCGCTTTCTGGCTGCTGCATGCGAAATTTAGGAATGCATTGATACATGACATCCTAATACAAACCATACCAGGAACATCGGAATTTAAATATTCATGGCTACTGAATGCAGATGGTGAATACTGTGTGCCAATACATTATTGCTTTGAGTCTCTGCTGAAGCGAGGTTTAGTCCAACTTTATCTGAACACGAGGATTCCAGTCTAATCCTTTGGGGCTTTGTCTTGCAATTACAACAAATAACTATTTATTTTACACTGCCTCTGGGAAAACCCTGAAGCAGAAAACTATAATATTTTATATCTGAAGTCTGGTCCAGTTTACGTAGCTGGATGCTGACTGCTAAAACACTTAGGGAATGCCAATGTTTCGATTTATTGAATGTACTGTATGACTTAATAAGCTTAAGCGTGCAAAAATCGTGAAAAGTTTTTAGCCTGTTTAACGCATTTTTCCAAAG